ATACGTCTCCCTGATACTCGGTAGGAAAACCAATCAACCTTTTTCTATAGATATGGCCGCTTCAACTGAACCAGCTGTTTCTATAGCATCCTCGTGTTGAGTATTAGGTGCAAAACTCTCTTGTCCTCAGGACGGTTTTTAGGTTTTTTGGGGGGTTTATTTTATGCCAATTAAAAGCTTGTGTTTGACCAGGGACTGGAGAGGGAAACCTTCTGGAGGCCGAATCTCTGCTGGAGCCGTACCAACAGAAATACCCCAAAGTAAGATAAGACTCACATGAGGTGTATTTCTGCAGAAAGTAATACACATTTAAACCTTAGTGACTATCAGAACACATATGTAAAAGTATTGATACACTGCATCATGTTTTGTTTCTTTCAGGGCTCCATCATTCTCTTCTACTCCGCTCGCATCTCAGCGCTACGAGGGAACTTCGAGAAGGTCGTATATCATATCATATAATGCACATTTGAGGACTAAATGATCCGCCTCTTCCCTCCTTTATATCAAAGGCACTCTGTGGGATTCTTTGACCTGACTTTCTTACATCGTGAACTGTACTGTACTATATATAAATCAATAAATACAATTCAATCAGTAAAAGGTTGTTGTGTGTTTCAGGCGCGGGCGATGTACGAGGAGTGCATCAGCAGCCAGCAGGAGTGGAAGCAGATCCACCATCTGTGCTACTGGGAGCTGATGTGGACTCACTCCTACCAGCAGGAGTGGCAGCAGGCGTACCTTTACGCTGACCTGCTGTGCAAGGAGAGCCGCTGGTCCAAGGTCAAACAACACTATCATTACATTCATATAACAACACATTCGTTTTTTTAGCTTATTAGCATCAGTTTAAATACACAAAAATAACTAAATAATATTCAGTCAAGGAACAGGCGGTGAAACAAATGGACTCCCCAAGTCGATTTATACTGGAAACAGATGATATCACTTGTTTTGTTATGAAGCAAAAATGTATGGAAACAAATATAATTATAACATTAAACACAAATAGTCAAATATAGCATAGAATTGGAATAAAATGTGCACTAATGAATCAGACTTTCTCTTATAAAGCAAACATTTATTGATTTGATATTATGTGTTGTTGTTGTTGTTGTTGTTGTTGTTGTTGTTGTATTGTGACTGCACGAATGCATCTGTTGAGGGAAAACAGTACGATATTATCTACAATGGTGTTAATCCAATCTTTGCTTTTTGCCCTCTCCAGGCTATTTATGTGTACCAGAAGGCGGCCATCCTCAGTATGATGACAGAGGAGGAAGTAAAGACGACGGGGGAAGACATCATGGAGCTCTTTAGGTCAATAAAACATTAATAATGTCCCAAAAACACATACAATTTGGAATATATAAAGAAAAAACATTGTGAAAACCTTTTTGTAAAGTTACGACATTTCTTTCTGTCCTTTTTCCTTTACAGAACTTTTTTAAACAGTAGAATATATAATGTTTTTATGTTCCTCCTCTGTGTGTGAGCAGGCAGGTGGAGGGGCTGAAACAGCGGCTGGCGGGGAAGTCGATCCCAACGGAGAAGTTTGCCGTGAGGAAATCCAGACGCTACAAAGCTGCTAGCCCCATCCCGCTGGTCATCCCCGCACTGGTATGCTAACGTACATTTCTGCGATCAAACACATTGATTCAGTGTTTTAGGGTCTAGGACAGGGGGGTCAAACTCAATTTCATCGCGGGCCTCATTAGAATGATTGTTGCCCTCAAAGGGCCGGTTGTAACTTTAAGACTCTTTAATATACATACATTACATTATTGCCTCTGCATTGGATTATTATCGGATAGGATAATAACTTCATAATTAACTACGTCTGAAAGCAGAAGTCGAGGGCAAATAATTGCAAGTCTCTTCAGTGCACATGTCACAAAACGAGATGCATTGTGGGACATGTAGTTTACGGGTAACGTGCTACTGTAAAGTGGCATGTAACCGTATAATAAACGTATTATATTCTTTCAGAGCTCTTGAGGGCCGAATAAAATGAAGTTGCGGGCCGAATTTTGCCCGAGGGCCTTGAGTTTGACACCCCTTGTTTAGGGTGTGCCAAAAGGATATTTTTGAATCATCAGGAACGTCCTTTTGGATTGGTGTAATTTTCCCTCTCTGTAGGAGATGATGTACGTCTGGAACGGTTTCACCATCGTTGGGAAGAGAGCCGACAGCACCGAGGCCTTGCTGGTAACCATAGAGACGGCAGAGGAGCAGCTACGCAACGACCCCAGTACGTTAAAAATAACAACGTAGCTACTCGTTATTGTAATAAAGTCAAGCCGGAGTTCCACAGGGTTTCGTCCTTGGCCCACTTTGTTTTCACATTGTACCGAATAAAAACATCTAGATTAATGTCATCGAGCTGGTCTTTCTAGCAGACGATGCTGTTTTATATTCATCCTATTTCTGTTGCCTCAAGACAATCTATTTTAGCACGGTTTGAAAGCTCATCTACTTATTTTCTTTCTTAGTATAACTA